ACCAATGGGGCGGCGCACAATTGGCCCAGCGTCGTCCAGGGTAGGGGAGGGAATGGCCAGCAGGGAGGTAGCTCAGTTGGTAGAGCATGGCGTTTGCAACGCCAGGGTTGTGGGTTCGATTCCCATGGGGGGCCAGTATGAAAATAAATAAATAAGAATAATGTATGCACTAACTGTAAGTCGCTCTGGATAAGAGCGTCTGCTAAATGACGTAAATGAGAGGTAAAGAGAGAGATGGGAGAGGGAGGTAGAGATAGATGGAGGGGGAGAGAGAGGTAAGGAGAGAGATGGTGAGAGGGAGATAGATAGAGAGGGAGGGCGGGAGAAGGAGGTAGAGAGAGAGAGGGAGGGCGGGAGAAGGAGGTAGAGAGAGAGAGAGAGAGAAGTAGGTAGAGAGAAATGGATGGAGAGAGAAAAAGGATGATACATTAACCTCCTGCCCCCACACACACCAGTGAGGGTATGGAGAAGTGTGGCAGAGCTGCCCCCACACACACCAGTGAGGGTATGGAGAAGTGTGGCAGACCTTGGCGATTGAGAGGAAAACATGAGCTTCTTTGTTTTCAGCACTCTTCTTTACCCTCCCGCTCCCACTCTCCCTCTCCCTCTCTCTCTGCTCCCTCTCTTTCCCTATCTTCGCTCTTGCTCTCTTCACTCTCTCTCTTTCTCCACTCTTTCTTTCTCCCTCTCTCTCTTTTCACTCTCTCTCCCTCTCTCTTCTTGTGGCAAAAATAATGGCTTTCATTTAAGCCCTTAGCCCACTGTTGGTGAAAGCTTCGGGGGACGGCCCTCTAAACGGCTTATAGAGAAGATTAATAAAACCAACCAACCTGCACCACTTTCTGGGCCTGGGTGTCGATGACCAGCAGGCGTTTTTGAAGGGGTTGGGTGACGTAGATGTACTTATCCCTCACACTGACCGCTGAGGACCACAAACAGTGCTGCGGGGACACACCTTCACTTTTAGGGCACATCTCCTCCTGGAGAAAGAATGGGATGGAGGGAGAGAGAAGGAAAGAAGAAGAAGAAGAAGAAGAAGAAGAAGAAGAAGAAGAAGAAGAAGAAGAAGAAGAAGAAGAAGAAGAAGAAGAAGAAGAAAAGAAGAAGAAGAAGAAAAAGAAGAAGAAGAAGAAAAAGGAAAAGAAGAAGAAGAAAAAGAAGAAGAAGCAGAAGGGTGAATCCACAGCTAATCACTGCACACACAGGACCATAATCGAAGAGTGGCCCCCTCTCTCTCACGCGTAGGGCAGAGAAAATGCTGTTTACAGCAGCAATGGGCTAACACATGGCTTATTGAGTTTGTATCGATCTGTAATACAATTACAGCAACCAGTAAAACTTCAATCCCTCATAGAAAAAAGCCACTTTTATCAACTAAAGCCCATTGCTTTGGGAGAGTGATGTTCTCTAGTATATTACAGACTTGCAGGGTTCCTGTGAGCTATTGACCTGGGATCTTTAACTAATGGACATGAGTAATCCTGAACGGAGGGCACAGATACTAGCAATGGATTGTAGTGCAGTGGGGGGATGTGTGTACCTCTGTAAATCTGTAAGATATTTTTCTTAAAACGAAGTAAGCATTTCACTGTTGTATTCGGCGCATGTGGGCAAATACATATTGATTTGATTTGAAGTCATAAAAAGTCCCAAAACACCAGCATCATTACATACACCTTAGCCAAATACATTTAAACTCAGTTTTTCACAATTCCTGACATTTAATCCTAGTAAATGTCTTAGGACTTAGGTCCATGTCTTAGGTCAGTTAGGATCACCACTTTATTTTAAGAATGTGAAATGTCAGAATAATAGTAGAGAGAATTATTTATTTCAGCTTTTATTTCTTTCATCACATTCCCAGTGGGTCAAAAGTTTACATGAACTCAATTAGTATTTGGTAGCATTGCCTTTAAATTGTTTAACTTGGGTCAAACGTTTCAGGTAGCCTTCCACAAGCTTCCCACAATAAGTTGGGTGAATTTTGGCCCATTCCTCCTGACAGAGCTGGTGTAACTGAGTCAGGTTTGTAGGCCTCCTTGCTTGCACACGCTTTTTCAGCTCTGCCCACACATTTTCTATAGGATTGAGGTCAGGGCTTTGTGATGGCCACACCAATACCTTGACTTTGTTGTCCTTAAGCCATTTTGCCACAACTTTGGAAGTATGCTTGGGGTCATTGTCCAGTTGGAAAACCCATTTGCGACCAAGCTTTAACTTACTGACTGATGTCTTGAAATGTTGCTTCAATATATCCACATAATTTTCCTTCCTCATGATGCCATCTATTTTGTGAAGTGCACCAGTCCCTCCTACAGCAAAGCACCCCCAAAGCATGATGCTGCCACCCCCGTGCTTTATGGTTGGGATGGTGTTCTTCGGCTTGCAAGCACCCCCTTTTTCCTCCAAACATAACGATGGTCATTATGGCCGAACAGTTCTATTTTTGTTTCATCAGACCAGAGGACATTTCTCCAAAAAGTATGATCTTTGTCCCCATGTGCAGTTGCAAACCGTAGTCTGGCTTTTTTATGGCGGTTTTGGAGCAGTGGCTTCTTCCTTGCTGAGCGGTCTTTCAGGTTATGTCGATATAGGACTAGTTTTACTGTGGATATAGATACTTTTGTACCTGTTTCCACCAGCATCTTCACAAGGTCCTTTGCTGTTGTTCTGGGATTGATTTGCACTTTTCGCACCAAAGTACGTTCATCTCTAGGAGACACAACACGTCTCCTTCCTGAGCAGTATGACGGCTGCGTGATCTCATGGTGTTTATACTTGCGTACTATTGTTTGTACAGATGAACGTGGTGCCTTCAGGCATTTGGAAATTGCTCCCAAGGATGAACCAGACTTGTGGAGGTCTACAATTTTTTTTTTCTGAGGTCTTGGCTGATTTCTTTTGATTTTCCCATGATATCAAGCAAAGAGGCACTGGGTTTGAAGGTAGGCCTTGAAATACATCCATAGGTACACCTCCAATTGACTCAAATGATGTCAATTAGCCTATCAGAAGCTTCTAAAGCCATGTCATAATATTCTGGAATTTTCCAAGCTGTTTAAATGCACAGTCAACTTAGTGTATGTAAACTTCTGTCCCACTGGAATTGTGAGACTGTGAATTATAAGTGAAATAATCTGTCTGTAAACAATTGTTGGAAAAATTACTTGTGTCATGCACAAAGTAGATGTCCTAACCGACTTGCCAAACCTATAGTTTGTTAACAAGAAATGTGTGGAATGGTTGAAAAACTAGTTTTAATGACTCCAACCTAAGTGTATGTAAACCTCCGACTTCAACTGTAGATGGACAGGAGGACTTACATAGCTGGCCACGATCCTCTCTGTGCGCTCAATGTGTTTACGTATCTCACACTCGCTGGGCTGCAGCACGGTGATGCCCTCATCAGAGAACACATAGAACATGTTTCCCACGCTCAAACCTGAGGAGTTAGGAGATCAAAAGAGCTTCAGCTGATGTTCTCACATTCAACAGCCTTACAGAGAATACACAGACCCTGTTAGCAGCACCTGAACTAGTCAATGACTGGTGGAGTTGTCAGGCATTGTCACGGCAGAGTCAGTGTCTGTCAACAACATGTCTAACGAGTTCATTGTGAAACTGCCTTCTGAAACTTGATGGCCGCTATGAGCACGAGAATATTTTCCAGGCCAGACACCTGACTCTAAACAACAGCTGGTAATTAGACAACAGATTGATGCTTACAGGGACAAGGATATACAACGAGGCTGTTTATGCTGTGGAAAAGCACATTGTGTTGGGATGGCAGGTTACATCGTATAGGATAACCACGTGCAATCAACACCTTGAGAGCTGCTGAAACAGTCATGACGTGACATTAAGGCCAGTGATACTGTCTGTGCACAATCAGCATCGGGGTGGACAAGATTCAAACAATGGGCCTCTCTCTACTCTCTAATCAGCCAAAATAAACATGTTGTGGTGTCACAACTAGATCATAGAGGAAGAGTTATGTGTGCTGAAATGTGGAGGCAGTCCAGTAGCAAAACGGTTTGCATTTTTGTTATATTTTCATGGTCAAGTCTTGTAAAATAACGTTTTCAGCAAGAAAATATACACATAATGAATATACAAAATTAACATATTCACAGTACAAAACATAGGCATTCAGAAGAATGTTGGTAAATTATAGAAGTGAATTGAAAATAACAGAAAAAAAAGACATGGTGAAAAGTGTTATAGTATATTTCAGTACCTTCCTCCCGCCACAGTATGTTTGCAACTGCAGCATCAGCATCAGAATGACAGAAGAGAGAGGGAGAGAGAGAGAGGGAGAGAGAGAAAGGGAGAGAGAGAAAGGGAGAGAGAGAAAGGGAGAGAGAGAAGGGAGAGGGAAAAGAGAAGGGAAGAGAGAAGGAGAGAGAGAAAGAGAGAGAGAGAGAAGAGGGAGAAGAGAGGGAGAGGAGAGAGATGGACAGATCCTCTCCCCCTTTCTTCCTCCCTTATCTCTCTCTCCCTATTCTCCTCCCTGTTCGCTTCTCCCTTTCTCCTGTCTCTCTCTCCGGTTCTCTCCCCCTTTCTACTCTCCTTCTCTCTCTTATTCGTCGCTCCCCCTTTCCTCCTCTTTCTCACTCTCTCAGTCTCCCCATGTCCATATAAGTCCAGATCAGAACATGTCATATCAAGTCATATCAGAAAAAGTGGGACAGAAACAAATTTAGCAAGAGTGCTTCTTTACAGACAGAAATACTTCAATTAACACAACAACATAAATGCATCCTAGTTTTTTTTATTGCATTTGACACAATCTAAACCCAAAGGCTGTAAAAAACAAATGTGACTTATATTGTTTTCTTTTATACAGAAAGATACCACAGAATAAAGTGTCATCTTTTTGTTAATTGTATGCCGATATACTGTAGCATTATGCTAATTTCTATATACATTTTCAATGCCAAAAATACCTAGTGAAAATCCCGGAGGCATTTTTCCATGTTCTACTTGAAGTAAACTCTCAGTCACTTACGTGTCTTTCTGGCTGAGTCCTCCACAAACAGAGACGATATGTCCTCGTCCACCCCCACCTCGTTCTTAGCAATGCAGGTGTAGGCGCCTGTGTCCTCATAGCGTACGCTGCCAATGAGGAGCTCGCTCCCATTCGCTGTTACAGAGGAGCATGAACGACAAGTCTCAGCTCAGCCACGTTTCTACACTGGTACACATTTCCCATGGCTGTTTCATCCTCCCACCTAGCAATACACTGTATTTTTCTAAATGAATGAACAAAGCTAATCTAAGTAGCCACCTAACTATGTATCCACATCTCACTAACACAAGCCATTGAAGCCTGAACCCTTGTGATGACAACACAACAACACTTCCTCAAATTATCCTTTGACTGAATCCTCTCTGTTCTGTTCCCAGAGATCTAGTGTCAGGGGAAGGTGATATATCTCAGGACACAGTGAGTGCTAACATCAGAGAGAGGCAGCAGAGGCAACCCTAGCTCTCTGACGCTAGCACTCGCAGCCCTTTGTGATCTATGGCATGTTCTCACGCTCATATCCATCCCTCCTCACCCTCACGCTGTTGCTGTGTTTGCCTTGATCACAACAAGGCAATCTTCACAACACTGCAGCAGGAGTGAAGGACACCCGTGTCAGACAGCTGCTTTCACATGCCGTGTCAAAGATCTTGTGCCAGTCTTTCACCTTCCCCCTCTCATCTCTCCCTTCCTCTCTCTGTCCTCTTTGATCCCCCTCTCTTGATCTATTTTATTTACATTTGAGTCATTTAGCAGACGCTCTTATCCAGAGTGACTTACAATTAGTGAGTGCATACATTTTTCATACTGGCCCCCCGTGGGAATCGAACCCACAACCCTTACGTTGCAAGCGTATCTCCTAAATGTGGACTGGCAGGCAGAGGCAGAGGAGGAGAACTTCATAGTGCTGAACAAGACCTGACGGAGCCAGGGCCTGAGATAAACCCTGGGCTAATATGAACAACTTCTACAGGCACCAATGTACACATAATGCAATATACATTTTCTTCATTCTCATTTAGATCAATGGATTTTACTGAAAATTCTACCACCTGAAAAACACAAGTTTGTCGACTTTATAGACTCTACCTAATTTTAGTGAAATGGGTGATGTTTTTACAATAGTTTGTGTTCAGATTCACTCTTCTAACTACTCTTTAGGGGGGAGTAAAGTGATGATGTACAGAGTGACCCGCCCCACATTAAACACCAGACACTGTCGGAATTACATCTAATCCAGAATTATGCCTTGATCAATTTTAATGGATGACCACTCAATTAAGAATTTGCCAATAGTTAGGCATTGCTTTCTCACTAAAAAATTTAAAACAAGGGAACAGACAGTTTATACAGGGATTTTCAGACTTGTAGATCTTTGTGGCGCCAGGGGATTAGTGGGAGGTTGTAGTGAGGTAAATCGTTCAGAATGTGTCAGATAGAAATAAAATATACAGAGCTGATATATGTCCTTATTCCATACAACAGAGGATAATGCAGCTGTCCATTCAGCACCACCAGTTGGGCTAAGCAGTCAGAACCTTGGACAGCACCACCAGTTGGGCTAAACAGTCAGAACCTTGGACAGCGCCACCAGTTGGGCTAACCAAGTTGGGCTAAGCAGTCAGGCCTTTGGACAGCACCTATTCCTAACAGTTGAGCCTATTGAACCCTCCCATTGTAAATGTAGAGCACACGTGTCAAACTCATTCCACGGAGAGCCGAGTGGTGTCTGCGGGTTTTCGCTCCTCCCTTGTACTTGATTGATGAATTAAGGTCACTGATCAGTAAGGAACCCTCACCTGGTTGTCTAGATCTTTATTGAAAGGAAAAACCAAAAACCAGCAGACACAAGGACCTCCATGGAATGAGTTTGACACCCCTGATGTAGAGGATCCTGGCAGGATTTGTGAGTACTGTAGCCTCCCCCTCATCCTGGCAGGATTTGTGAGTTCTGTAGCCTCCCCCTCATCCTGGCAGGATTTGTGAGTTCTGTAGCCTCCCCCTCATCCTGGCAGGATTTGTGAGTTACTGTAGCCTCCCCCTCATCCTGGCAGGATTTGTGAGTACTGTAGCCTCCCCCTCATCCTGGCAGGATTTGTGAGAACTGTAGCCTCCCCCTCATCCTGGCAGGATTTGTGAGAACTGTAGCCTCCCCCTCATCCTGGCAGGATTGTGAGTTCTGTAGCCTCCCCCTCATCCTGGCAGGATTTGTGAGTTTCGGTAGCCTCCCCCTCATCCTGGCAGGATTTGTGAGTTCGTAGCCTCCCCCTCATCCTGGCAGGATTTGTGAGAACTGTAGCCTCCCCCTCATCCTGGCAGGATTTGTGGGTACTGTAGCCTCCCCGATCCTGGCAGGATTCGTGAGCTCCACAAGGCCAACATTAGCCTTAGTTAGCTTAGTTCCAGAGGGAAAACTAATCTAATTCTGAGTTGGAATACCTATATACTGATCCAATGTTGAAATATTCTGCCAAATAAACCAAGAGTATAACTCTGGAAAACGGCTTCAATCTGTAGACTCTTATGTTTGAGCACTCTGTTAAACCATTACTAGATATAAAGGTATGGTCAGATCTATCCCAAATAGCAATGAAATTAACATCCTGGAATCCAGCTCCACGGATTTGCCAACTCTCAACTGGGCTGTGAGAGAGAGAGCTGGCAGATCCGTGAAGCTGGATTGCAGGATGTTAATGTATATATGAACCTTGCAGAACCTGCCTTATTTCAGCTGCATCTGAAGCCTGATAACAGGCTATTACCACAGGTAATGACCCACACACAGCCTGTAAACTGCCATCTAATGAGGGTTACTTCATAAAATACACTCTCTTGTGTCCCCTCGGAAATTGAAATTCCCGTTCAACTCTCCCACATGGCTGGCTGCTGTATAATTCATTTTCACACACTGTTGTTCTATCTTTTTCTTTATCATGTTCTTCAAAGGCTTGGATTGGATATTTACCATTCTAAAATCAGTGGCCGGCAAAATAACAATAATCAAAGCGGTGACCCTAATCTTGGATTTGGCAACACAGGAGGGGTGTGACACAGAATTACGCCTAATATAGCAACACCTCCATGGTTCCCTGCATAGTGGTGTGTCTGCTTAAAAGGAGTCGCTGTGATGGTAATAACAGGGTGCGCCTATTCCATATATATTCCCAATGGGCCCTGGTCAAAAGCAGTGCACTACATAGGCAATAGAGTGTCATTTAGGACACATACGGTCTTGTGAGTGTGGGCAGGAGTAGCCTGGTTCCTTACCGATGAGGGAGAGCTGCTTGGAGGGTCTGGGCTGCAGGTCCATGCCATTCTTCAGCCACAGGATCTTGGGGTCTGGGATGCCGTCAGCGTGGCAGTGCAGACTGGCAGACACACCAGGCTCCTGGGCCTGCGTCTCTGGGTAGACGAGGATCACTGGGGGAACTGGATACATAGACGCACGCACACACACACACAAAGAGACAAACACAGCCACAAGAGAGAGGAGTCAGTGAGGTATAATTACACAGGCACAGCAGGCAGAAAGGCCTTCATTTCACACCAGTACCACACAAAATCACACATACACGCTACAGGCACTGCATTACAATAGAGTCCAGCATAAATGTTTATAAGACCAAATAAGACCACTATTGAAGGAAGTTAAGGAAGGTAAATCTGAAGGAACACACATTATGGAAGAGGCAAGAAAATCCACTTTGTTGAGCAGCCCCAGTCATTATTTACAGGTGAAACACTTCATATCCAAACACAAACACATGGTAATTGTCTTCGAAGATAACTTGCCTTCCAGGAAGCAGACATTTCCCTCCCTCTTCAACTGAATATCTCAGATGCAGCTGTATCGTTTTTCAATTAGCCTAAATCCTGCCTTACAACACACAATCACGCCTATTGTCCCTGTTAATTGAAAATCATTGCAGGCTATTTTTGTCTATGCATATCTGTGCGAGCAATGAAACAAAGATCGGGAAATTGAGATTGTTATCTTTGATTTGATACAGTACAGACGGTACAGATGGCTCTCCCAAGGTCCTCAATGAAGAGGAAGGCTCGGTAATCACACGTCGTCTCAGTGAAAAAATACTTATGGAAATGTATTTGTAGAGCAGTGTGTTTTGATAAGTGTCTGCAGCAGCCCCTCTGTGCTGATTACTGCTGGCTATTTGATGTACTGTAGATAAAACAGTTTACATGCTCAGGGTGGAATCACTTGAGTATGGTTAGTAAAACACCATGAGTATAGACTTGATTTGCTTTCTATGATAATATGTTGGACATCTTGAAAACAATGCCATGTTTTGTGATTGGAATACTGCCAAGAGAGTCTGAGACAGGATTTGAGACAGGGATTGAGACAAGGGTTGAGACAGGAGTTGAGACAGAGATTGCCAGTCCTGACCCTGGAAAGTCCCTCATCCACAAAAGCATCTTACTTTTTGTTATCTATTCAAAAACCAACAACAAAAAAATGAATTTAACATTGAACGCAGCAATGATTGCACTGCAACTATAACACATTTGTCAGGTCTAAATTCTGGTGTCCACATGCCAAACTAAACTCTGACAATCAAATTACCGTGAAATGTAAAGTATATGCCATTACTAACCATTCACCTGCAGTACATGGGTCTGGCAGAGTTCTTCATATCCATACGCATGACAGCTGTAGTTCCCCATATGGATGGTTGTCACTTTGGTGATGTAGAGGGAGCCGTCATCACCAAAGTCCTATTGGGGGAAGAGGAAGGTGGCAGTGGAGGATGGTGAGGGAGGGAAGAAGGGAGGGGAGGGAGGTGAGGGGGGAGGAAAAGGAGGGAAGGTAGGGGAGGGAGGGAGGGCACACAACAGGGGACCATGGAGTGATGGGAAGCATATAGACCATGAATCAATGTGGTCCCTGGGTGTTGGGACAGGTATGGGGATTGGAGCCCTGTGGTCACGCTCAATCAGTCTGATAAATAGGAAGGGTTAAAAATACAAAGAACATTAGAGTGATTAATTGAGCCAGTTGTTGTTTTTCAGGATGCACAACTCACCTGGGGTTTCAGCAGAGACTTAGGGAGGATTAAGACACTAAATAGTGGCGTCCCAGTACGTAGCGGACTGACTGTGTGCAGATGTGTGGAGCTAGCTCCCTTAATAACCAAACACATCCCTCTCTAAACAGAGACTAAAGACTTGGAGTTTCTTGCCGCAAGCTATTGTCCCACTATGTGCTTTAAGGTAGAGGAACCTACTGCTCCTCATTTGGCTAACGAGATGGGAGTGGATGAGGACATAATCGTCTCTAGTAAATGCTTTAAGGTAAGGAAAGGTACTGTAGAGGAAGTACTTAGGACGGACATTTCAAAGGCTTTACGGAACATATGAAAACAGTAGACACTGCTTTAGAGATTAATTACTGTACAGCAGGGTTTCCCAAACTCAGTGCTGGGCCCCCCTGGTTGCACATTTTGTTTTTTGCCCCAGCACTACACAGCTGATTCAGATAACCAACTCATCATCAAGTTTTGACTATTTGAATCAGCTGTGACGTGCTAGGGCAAGCGGGGGGGGGGGGGGGGGGGGGGGGGGGGGGCAGGACCGAGTTTGGGAAACCCTGCTGTACAGTACAGGTAGATATGAAACACTCTACGTTATCCTATATCATGTATCCCTATAAGGTATGAACTTAACTGTGTAGCGCTGATTCTTCTTATTTAGTTCCAGTACAGGTTTATAGGATTTAACAAGAAATACTGAAAACCATGTACTAGTTTCAAGTTGAAAGTTATATTAGTCGTATGTACACATGGAATACACCGTTCAATTAAATGCTTACTTGCAGGTTCCTTCTCGACAATGCAACAACAATAAGAAATAATAAAAGATAAGAATACGAACATAAAGTAACTGGTTCAGTAGAATATAATAAATATTTTAGCATAACTATAATACAGGATGGCACAATTTATAGTCCATTTATACATGTATCAGGGAAGGAGGTATTGGGGGGCAAGTATTTAAATTGTGCAGTATTAGCAATAGTAAATAAGAGTCTGGTAGCAGCAGTTGCGATGTGAAGCATAAATGTGTGTTGGTGTGTGTGTGTGGGTGTGGGTGTGTGTGTGGGTGTGTGTGTGTGGGTGGGTGTGTGTGTGTGTGTGTGTGTGTGTGTGTGTGTGTGCATGCATGCGTGCGTGAGTGAGTGCATGTGTGCTAAGGTGCAGAGAGTCAGCGTAGGTGGTAAGTCCAGTTCAAGTGTTCAGCAGTCTGATGGCTTGTAGATTGCAATGATGTCATGTCATTGTATTGTGTGGACCAGGGGAGAGTTAGTAGATAAGTGGTTTGGTGTCACGGAGTCTGCATTCCTTATGTCAGAATAGATTACTGATGTTGATCTTAGAAATTATTGATGGACAGGATATATGACTTGGGGGTAAAGAGTAATAACATCAAAGAGAAGGGAGTGCCCATGGAGGTTTACCAGATGTTTGTGGAGAGACTTGTAACAGAGTGTATATATAGAGAGAGTGTATCTTTGTTCTGGAGTTAGGAAGTTGGAAGTTGGAAGAGGCAGGGCCATGTCCTTCTTCTGTTATAACTAACCATGGTACCATATTAAATATCTTATATGAACTCCTCATCAAAAGTGTCTAAGTACATCCTTACATTCGTAATCACTTGATACCCTAGACACTCATCATAACAGATAGAAACAGTCTCTGAGCCTGTTGGTACTAGACCTCATTCTCCGATACCGTTTGCCCGACGGTAAGGGAGTGAACAGCTCATTGCTGGGGTGTGTGGGGTCCTTGATGGTGGGCCTTGCGGTCGTGGATGGAGTAATTCCCCTACCAGGCTGTGATGCAACTGGTCAGGACACTGTCGATGTTGCAGAGGACCCGGGGTGGCATGCCAAACTTCTTCAGCCACCTTAAGAAGAAGTAGAGGTGCTGTTGCTCCCCCTTGACAAGAGTGGTGGTGTTGTTAGTGCATGTCAAGTCTTTGGTGATGTGGACGCCGAGGAACTTAAAAACTCCTAACTTTCTTTACTGCAGTCCCGTTGATGTGGATCGGGGCACGTTCCCTCCTCTGCTTCCTGAAGTCAACAATCAACTCCTTTGTTTTGCTGACGTTGAGAGAGAGAGGTTGTTGTCCTGGCATCACAATGCCAGTTGACTTACCTCCTTCCTATAAGCTGACTCATCGTTGTTGGTTATAAGGCCTATAATTGTGGTGTCGTCAGCAAACCTGATGATGGAGTTGGTGTTGTGCAAAGTCACGCAGTCGTGGGGGGGTCCATGTGTTAAGCGTCGTATAGAGGAGGTGTTGTTGCCAATCCTTACAGCCTGTGGTCTGCCTGTCAGGAAGTCCAGGATCCAGTGGCAGAGGGTAGTCTCCAGACTCAGGGCTCTGAGCTTGTTGACGAGCTTGGAGGGTACAATAGTGTTGAATGCTAAACTGTAGTCAATGAACAGCATTCTCACATAGGTGTTCCTCGTGTTCAGATGTCTTAGGAACTAGTGAATAGCGATGGAAATGGCATCTAACGTTAATCTGTTGGAGCGGCAAATTGGAGTGGGTCAAATGTGCCTGGCATGCTGGCCTTGATGTCGCCAGCCTCTCAAAACACTTCATGTCACCTTGGTTTTTTTTAGGCACTGGAACGATGGTAGTCTCCTTGAAGCAAGTGGGGACTACAGCCTGGGACAGGTACAGGTTGAAGATGTTTGAGAAAACACCCGCCAGCTGGTCAGCTTTTTGAATTTTCACTCTTTTGAGAGTTTTCCTCACCACACAACTGGATCATACTATGCCAATTATTGTCCTGTTGTGTCTCAAATTACGGACCTCATAAAGGGAAATGTGTTATTGTACAAAAAAAAACAGATTGAATACAATGGAGTGGCTGTATACTTACACATAGTTAATTACTTCCCCCTCAGTTTGTAAAGAAGCCTGATATTGTTTCATAAATGTTTCATTTAAGTTTGTATTTAAAATGAAAAACCACCCAAAATGTTTCCTTCCATCTTTTCACCCCTTATAAAACAGTAATAGCTCTGTACTGTATCCATAATAGTCTTAGTGGAAAATCATCTTAATATGTTTGAAGGTTAGTATAATGCATTTTTCACAGCAGTCCCAACCGGGTGAGTAAAAGGCCTGTTTGACATGCTCATTCATTTTTTTTTATAGCATCATTTTTTTTTTACGGAGAAAATGCATTACTTATTATAGTCCCGCTTTAAATGACATGCAGCTTATAAAGGCTTCATAAATCCTTCATAAACACTACATATTTTTTTTTTTAATGTGTTACGAATCATCTATAACCGTATGCCATGCTTTATAAAGGGTTCATAAATGTGGCATATCTGTGTGACATAACCACCAATGTCAAATGTGACATAACCCACTATGCCAAATATGACATAAACCTGTGCTTTATAAAGGGTGGCATAAGCACCGCTTAATAAAGGCCTTATAAATAATATTAAATTGAGGCTTCACAAAGCATTTATAACCGTTATGCATCTTGGTAGAGCATTGCAACGCCAGGATATTGGGTTCGATACCCGAGACCACCCATATGTCAAAATGTATTCACGCAAGACTGTAAATCGCTTTGGATTAAAGCGTCAGCAAAATTGTATATATGATATTATATTTCACTAAAACATTTTGTGTGCATACTCAACTTCCCCCCAAAATGCGGTGCTGCAGGATGAGGCACACTCTAAAGTGCAGTCATGCACAGCGAAAAACATTGTTATGGCCTTTTAAAATCAGTTTATATTTTTTGCCTACTTCTGTTTTTTTGTTTTTGTTTTTGTTTTTACAGGTTTCGGTTTTTCCCAATGTTTTCCTGGTTCACCCCAGTTTTTTCACTGTTATTTGGTTAGCGGGTTTTCTGTATTGCAGTAAGCCACATGTGAGCAAAAGGCCAGCAACACTCCGTATTATTCAGAGCCGAATGAAATGACACCATATATACATTCTACAGACCCTACTGAGTATTTCCTACAATACTTTTACTGCAGCACCCAGAATAGTTTTTGCTCTATAAGCAAATATGTATTCCATATACAGTGATTCGCATTGGGGGCATTTATTTGACCTTGAAACATGTTTTAAAACCCAAATGTAATGCAAATGTCACTTAAATATGAACAAATATGAATAATTGTTCAGGTTTAGACAATTATTTTTCATATACAGTGCATTCGGAAAATATTCAGACCCCTTGACTTTTTCCACATTTTGTTACGTTACAGATTTATTCTAAAATGGATTAAAGAAAAAAAAAATCTCATCAATCTACAAAATACCCCATAATGAGAAAGTGAAAACAGGTTTTTAGATTTTTTTGCTAATTTATTAAAAATAACAAACAGAAATACCTTAAGTATTCAGACCCTTTGCTATTTGACTCGAAAATTGAGCTCAGGTGCATTCTGTTTCCATTGATCATCCTTGAGATGTTTCTACAACTTGATTGAATACCACCTGTGGTAAATTCAATTGATTGGATATGATTTGGAAAGGCACACACCGGTCTATATAAGGTCCCACAGTTGGCAGTGCATGTCAGAGAAAAAACCAAGCCATGAGGTCGAAGTAATTGTTGGTCGAAGTAATTGTCCGTAGAGCTCCGAGACAGGATTGTGTCAAGGCACAGATCGGGGGAAGGG